CAAGCGGAGTGTCACGCAAGCCTAACGTGGATATGTAGCGAGCACAGTCGTTTTTATCTAAGCCAAATCTGCGATAAAATCAATAGCACAATCATCAGACATCGATTGAATTTTAGCTTTTGATCGAAAGGCGCCGATTCGAAAATCAATGATCGCGTAACAACAAGCTAGCTAGCTAGTACCGATTAATATAGCGAATTATTAATAAATGGCTGGTCCTATTACTTTAAAAGTGATGTAACAATTTAAGAAACGTAATTTTAGAGTTATTACATCATTGCGTGAATGGATTAAGTAAACATTATCCTAACAATCTTAAGTCAACTAAGTTAACTTCATAAAAATAGTAAAAAACGTCTCAACTTTAAAAAAATGACTTTAAGAAAATTGCTAATTTAATTTGTGATATTATAATACTGCGGTAGTTTAGTAGAGTTAGCGTTTTCAAGACCGAAAAATCATTTCGGCGCGCGTTCTAGGGACTACGTATGTAGTATATAAATTCACACAAGAATCATACAAGCATTTAAAATCCAACTAGACCGTTTAAGGCTTTGATTTCTATAGTTAATTTTTTTCAGTTGTGTCATTTTTAAAGTATGTGTGATATATTAGGTAAAAAGAAATCCATTATTTTTCCAATAGATGGCTTTAGTAATCTGTATCTCGTCTACGCGTGATACAGATTACTAAAGCCATCTATTGGAAAAATAATGGATTTCTTTTTACTACACCTAATATTAATTGCACAAAGTAATATATTATAAGATATATACACGACGATTTACGTGAAATATCACATTTTGATGGTTAATAATGAGATATTCAAGGTAAAATTGAACAGAAAAGTAATTTTAAGTTCGATTTTATCTATTCGAAAACGTACCTTCGACAGTTTTGGTGCACGAGATACGATGATGCCTTCGTTGCCACAATGGCATCGATGCTCCTCTCGACAGCATCCGCAGAAGGATAAGAATTCCAAAATTGTTTCTCGGCCGGACTTCGTGTCTTGAATTCAACTCCGGCGTTCGCGATATTGTTTTCAAGGGTGCTCATGCGATCGATTAACATTTGCGCAAACGCGATCGAGTTGTTCAGTGTTGTCCCATCGATTTTGGGAAATCTTCGATTTTGAAAACGACCAGTATCCACAATGGCTTCAGAACCATAATTAGATGGCAATCCTGAAAGCACTTATTTGAAATATTTCGGAATAGTAAATGATGCTGTTTAATTTAAACAACGATTAAAACAAGGACGGCTGCAATATATAAAAATATTCTTTAATTAAACTTTCGAAGTATAAGTCCCTTAACTTAGGCCTTCGTTCCGAAATAAACCAATCAATTTTGACAACATACCTGAACCGTTTCCAAATATTGCTAAATCGATTCGAAACCAAAAATAGATGTTAGACAAAATTAATTATGTTAAAATATAAGTCAATTTATTTCTTTAAAAACGTACAACTTTGCAGGATAAATGTAACAGAACTATGTAACATATGATGTAATGCTTAAAACGCAATTTGACACGATATGATTATAACTGTAACATTTTTCCCAAATCATTACGGAACTATTTATGGAAGATGAATCGCTAATAACTTCCTTCCCTCGATTTTCCATTTTATGTCATGAAATTTATATCATTTCATCTGTCTGAAAGGTAGATACTTACCAGTATAACTGGCAAGATAATTCTGCAGAGATTCAGGCAACTTATAAGTGCTGATCGAATGAGAATGACCCAAAAGTCCCATCGTCTGCAAAGACATCCAAAGGATCGCCAGAGTGGCAACGGAGCCCGCCATGACACCGCCGGCTGCACAAAACAGAATGACTAACTAATATAAGATTGTCGAGACGGACTCTTCTTGCATCCCAATACATGACTCACACTACGTTAAACTTGCATGTGCGGCGTAAAGAGAGTGACGCGACTCTCTCGCGAATGAAAATGTTATATTAATATCGCGTCCGAAAGGATGTCACCATATGCCCTGCTTGGCTCCCGTCCCGTTGATAATACCGAATATACACGCGGGTGTATAAATAATCGTTGATTAATAATAAATAAAAAATATCCCGTTATATCTTTTTACTTTAATGTGTTGTATGTCATAAATGTATAATGGCGTACTTTGCAATCCCTTCGGAAAACAAATAAAAAAACAAATGAAAAACATAATAATAATTATTGTTATTATTATTATCATCATTGTCATCATCATCTCATTAGCCTCATTGTTATTATTATTATTATTATTATTATTATTATTATTATTATTATTGCAGATCTGTCATTATATACAACTATATACAATAACTATATACAATATTACTATATTTTCATTACACATTGACCTAGTTTCTATCGAGAGTTTAATCCGAATCAAAATGTAAGAATCAACCAACTACAATCGAGCATTCCCCTGTCGTTCAACTGTAACAGGGAAATACTCGACTGTAGTTGGTTGATTCTTACATTCTGATTAACCCCTCCGGATTAAACCCTCGGTGGAAACTAGGTCATTGTCATTAAATATGATCCAATAATCAGATCTTGATTCTTATCCTTATATTTTTTATTCTTTTATATTTTATTTATTGAGCACAAATAAAAATTAAAGATAATTAAAAAAATGAACTTTTCCACGAGGGGGAAAGTCCTTAATATAATATTAAATTCATTAGTTTTTAAATAATAAATACACGCACAATTTTTCAATTTGACGTTTCGAATCATCATGGTACAGTCACATTTAACATTGGCTTCGTCTAACACTCATCTACACGCGTCATATGTATATGCATCTGGTATTCAGAATAGATTTCTATTTTCTTATTTGTAAGATAAAAATATTTCTTACATTTTCACTGAATGCTATAGTTCTTAAATGCCAAATATTTTGGAGATTTTTGCCGAGACAAAATGCTATTATCAAAATACTATTATCGATTTAATATGAATGATCAAAGAAAGTTGTCAAGAAATTAGACATAAGGGAAACATTCCACATTATATAGAAAACAAACGTTCTTTAGGTGTGTCATGTATAATATCACTTCTTAATAAATTAGACGGTGTGAATACAAAATCATAGAATCGTTTAACCTCGATACGAAGTGACAAGGTATAGAAATCCTATTAAAATAATGTGATGATACCACGTAAATATTTTTAAGGGCAGTATGCAAATCTTAAAGATTTTTAAAAAATATGCATAATATTTCAATATAATAGATTTAAGTTTAATTAGTTTTTTATTGCTCGTATCTATAACTTATTAAAGATATGGGCAATAAAGAAATAAAATACTTATTTCTTGTCGGATGCTTTGAGTAACAATTAAGACAATAATCAATCTATGAGTTCAAATGTCGCGCGTACGAATGATTCATTTGCTTCAACACAAGCACGGAACAACGAATTCTTTGATGGTCCTCTGTGACCTTCACGTGTACTCTCTTAGTTATTTATAGACCACGTTTTAGCGATATTATCAACGAAACAGTACACACACGTCTGTGTGCAGTTTCTATCACCTTCCATATCACATTAATGTGGTAAACATTAAAGCGCGCAGGTGTTCACGCGTGTTACACATGACTATACCCATGACTCGATGCAGCTAGCTCATATTCGTTATCACTGATAATACTGCTAAAATGTGTTATCGTTGATAATGCTGCTAAAACACGATCTATAAATAACTAGGAGAACACACGTGAAGGTCACAAAAGAACAGTAAAGAATTAATTGTTTGGTATGTGTACGCGTCCGTGAGGAAGCGAATGAACCCGCATTCGTACATTTGAACGTTAGTGATTGTCGTGACAAAGTATGTGATAAGAAATATTTTTCTTCATTGCCCATATCTATAATTAGTTATAAATATGGACAATAAAGAACTAAACTGAAATCTAGTGAAATATTATGCTCATTTTTTAAATTTGTAAAACTTATTATGTACTGCTTACTTTAAAAGTATTTATATTATTTGGAAGCATCATCATTATTTCAATAGGATGCTAATGTATATCTCAAGTTCATTGAGGTCAGACGATTCATTTATGATTTTGCATTCTCATCACATAATATCTCGAGAAGCAATATTATATGACATAACTATTGGAAATCATAGTAACTGACTTAAAAAATTTAATAACATCACCTATGTATTGGTTAGACAACTTGTTTTACATTTATCGCTTATAAGTTGCCACACTTGTTTCTTTATGTTTTTATCGCCTTCACGTTTTATTTTCTAAAACTACTATAACGTACCTATAATATGTACCCTCTGAGTAAAATATAATCTTTTGTATAATAAAAACTTCAATTGATTCTGCTACTATTGCCCTTCACTTCCGTAACGACTCAACAAAAATCTTAGAAAGAATGTTTTGTTTTATACACACACCCACACACACACACACGCACACGCGCGCGCGCGCACATGTGTGTGTGTGTGTGTGTGTGTGTGTGTGTGTGTGTGTGTGTGTGTATATAATTGGATATAAAAGAAACATCCTACATTATATATATGTTTCTTTTATATCCAATTTCATGACAACTTTCTTCAATAAATTTTATTCTTTAAATTGATATAAGTCAATAATAGTATTTCGATTATCTCGGCAAAAATGATCTCTTTAAAATATCTGGCATTTAAGAACTTTGATATATAAGCAATGAAAACTTCGGTGAAAACGTAAAGAATATTTTGTTTATCTTATGAATAAGAAAATAAAAATCTATCAATAAAAGATTAGTCCTTAATTGGCAAGTAAAAATACTAAAATCTTATTAAAACGCTTGCTACATATAATGAAGGAGCTGCAGCATCAATATCTTATCAAGAGACACGATAGTTAAATCCGGATCTACAATAGACGTTTTAAGCCTTAAGCTTAAATTAATAAATAAATAAGAAATTGATCAATTACAATCGAATGCGAAAAGAATAATCAATTATGATTCCATTTCTTATGACAAACTTAAAAATCTATTGTAATAACTCCGGGCTGAGACAAGCGCAGCGAACTCTTGTTCCTTTACGCGAGGGGGATTGAGATTATTCATCTATATCTCAATAACAACTGAATCGATCAAATACGCTCAATCGATAGCTTCCGCTCGAATTGCGTATAATAAAAGCGCTTTTATTTTATTTTTTTTTACGCGCCTTATGAACGGAGATAACGCAAAATCCCGATGTAAAATTTTTAAGATACGTCATTGTTAGTGTAATCAATCGTTCCAAATTAGGAGGAACAGTCAAATTTTGACTCTTTGTTCCACTTTACGACGCGTCTCAAATTTGTTTATCCCAAATAAAAGACATGATTAAAATAATGTAAACATATTAAATGTGAATTAATAAGTAAAAATAGTGAAAGTTTTTGTATAATAAGTGTGAAATATAATTTTCAATTAATATGTGAAGAATTTTATGATTTTTTTTAATTTAAAAATCCAGATATTATTCATAAAATACAATTATTAGGTGTTGGAATTAATTCGTAGCGTTTTACAAGTGATGGGAAGTACTTTCATTAATGTATTTTTTAATGCTCATGTGAAATAAATAACATTCTTTCATTAAAAAACGCTACGAATTAATTCCAACACCTAATAGTAGAGATACAATTTAAAAAAATAAAACGTGGTCTTGTAAACTTGATATAATTTTTGTTATGATGTTATATTATAAATTAAGTTATTTATTAATTATTATAAATTTAGTTATTTATTATTATTTACAAATATAATATAATAATATAATATTGTTTATATGTGTTTTATTAAAAACTTTTTTTATATGTTTATCTATTAAAATTTAATTGCGGTAATGAACACTGAATTTTTTTTAATGTCCCTCTTTGCTCCTTCAAGGAATTGGTCATCTTAAATTTAACACGATAGTTATCATGTTGAAAAGTCAAAATCAAATTAACGATTAATATTAATTTCTTATTATAGATTTCTGTTTTTTTATTCATTAGATAAAAAATATTTCCTACATTTTCATTGAATGTTAAGATTCTTATGAAGATGCCAAATATTTCAAAGAGGTTTCTTCCATGTAATCAGAATGCTGTCCACCTGTATCAATTTAATGAAATTTATATTTAAAAAAAATTGGAACAGAAAGTGAAAGAGAAATTAAAGATCTATGTGATTGCCGTTTCAAATAATTTTACATGATTATATTCTAAAAATAAACTGAAATTTATATACGTATATCCAGAAAGAAAATTGCAAGGAAAATAAGACAGCGGTAGATACAAAAACTATTCTCTTAATTAAAAGGTTAAAAAATATTGTTTATTAATATCATCAGAATTATATGTATTAACAATATTCCATTAAGTTTCTGATAATATTCGTTACATTATAACATATTACTGGATTTCGATTTTAGTAACATTAGAGCTGAAGTGCTTTTCATGTTATTTAATCAAGGTATATGTGAATCAGATTTCTTATAGTTTTCTTAATCCAGATGCAATTATTTGAAGACTATTTTTATATGGCTCAATGATACGTGTATATGTATATGTAAATACACATAACAATCAACGCGCAACATTATCGTAGGAGTCTTTTCAATGCGTGCCTATACTGTGAGCAGCATAAATCAGCGTGATTACAAATGCAAGATGTGCACTTTCGAGAACAGCAATGATTGCGCCGCTGGTATATTCTGATAAATAAAAAACTCTAGCTCACTAAGAAATGACTAAAATAAAAACTAAATCACATTTTTTTAAATTTTCTTTAGAATATGTACGATGCATGACACGTTTGCGATTGCTAAACCTAAAAATAATCACTTAGCACTTTTTACGATCATTTGCTGTGATTTTTACACCTCCAACTAAAAATCATTATTATTAATTACATGTACAATGCATATTCCTAATTGTTCTACAATATTGTTAGTAGATATTGAATTAGAGAAAAGGTCTCTATTATAAGATACCGAGTTCATTTTGGATAAATGCTGGAAGTGTATAGGCAGAATTAAAAAAAAATAATAGATCATTTTAAAGGGAATTTAATAAACTTTAAGATATTTAGTTATGTAAAATTTAATTCAAATATTGTATTTACTATTTTTTTTTTAAATTAAAGAAATGTAAAAAGTGAGCAAATCGCAAAACCAAAAAATTGTGCTCATAATATGAGATATCTCGACAAATCGATAATAAAGCGCAAAGTACATCAATATTGCAATTAAAACTTTATTTAATGTTTCTAAAACACAAACAAACACAGCCGCAATGTGTGTGCAAAATGAACATGCGATTTATTCCACCCAGGATTTGTCTTCAGGTAGTTCGTACCAAGCATCGCAAAAACAGGCACTCGACGCTCATTCCGATTATTCTTTTTATTACTGTAATAACATTTATATAGTAAACGATTGTCACTCGGTAGTAGCATAGGTTATTTCGTATTAAAAGTATCCTGATCTCATATTATAAATTCTACGTCTTGCGTGATATTTTATGATCATCAAATCTAACTTCTGTAATTAAACAATTCAACATATCTCGTATTTTTTAATATAATCTTACTTCATCATTATATCAAGAATTTATTGCCAAATATTTACTTATTAAATAATAAACAAGGCTTAAAGACTCATCTCAATGAAACTTGAAGACATCCAAATTCTAAAATCTTTTTTTTACAACGACTATTACTAGCATGATCTAATAATGCATTTTCCACTAAATAGTTTTCAACCAAAAAGCAATAAATTCAACAGTTAGTTTATCATCGCTATCTCGTATTAGGCGCCTATTTCCTAATAGGGAATTCTCCTATACACACACACGCACGCACACACACATGCACGCACACACACACATACATACACATATGTATATTATTAGAAGTTATTATATAATTATGTATTATGTATAGATCTATTCAATGTTTTCTCGAACTACACTTAAGGAGAGATATGGATTTTTAATTGGTAAAAAGTACTACAGTACAGTAGCAATATTATAGTATAAATCAAGTACAATCTGTTACAATTTGTTACTCAACAATGTAATTGTTACACAGTAAAAAAATTGTGTATTTGTATTGGAAACGATCTACTTGATCACGTTCTGTAAGTTTGTGTTGAATTTTTTAACATATTTGAGTGTTAATTTAACATAATGTGATTGTTATTTAAAGATTTTGTATGAAATTGATATTCAACATTCTCAGACATCAAAATGACATAATTTATGAGTAAGTGAATAAGTAAAAATAATGTGTTTTAAAACAAATTCTGAATGAATGAAATATGTGTTATTTAATATCATAAATGTCAATTTTCTGAAAAAAAATTCTTCGATAGTTTCTTTACAAACTCTGTCGATATTACTTTTTTTTTGTATTTATTCTCTTACATAATATTTGTGTAATCTTATAACATATTCGTCTTGTGTTAAATTAAAATTTGAGACCATTGACATGCGGTTTATGTTAAATTCAACATATCTTTTCCAACAGTGTACGTACATGTGTTTATTATTAGGTGTTGGAATTAATTCGTAGCGTTTTTAATGAAAGAATGTTATTTATTTTACATGAGCATTAAAAAATACATTAATGAAAGTACTTCCCATCACTTGTAAAACGCTACGAATTAATTCCAACACCTAATATATTTATATTGTTGAATAAGAAATTATAATATTGATAAAATGTTAATATTTGTATTCTGCAGTATTGTAATCAATTATAAGTTTGAATTTCCTTGCTTCTGAGCTCAAAAATTATCAGATAACTATTCCCGTATTAAGTACGTTTCAAGTTAAAAATGTCTCAACGACAGTGTATATCACTTCTATTGTCCTAAGGATCGAAGTATTTTGAGTTTCAAAACAATCCGTCAATACTAAAGAAAATTGTTTTCCAAAGAAAATTATAGTAGTAACAACTATAATATTAAGATGACAACTATACGTGCATAGTTAAATAAACTAATAATATGTAATAATAATATAATTAAAAATATAAACTATTTTAAGTACACACACACACACACACAGAGCGCACGCACGCACACGCACACACACACACATATAAAGTTAGTATTATTAGTAATAATAATAATAATATAATTAAGAATAAACTCTTTTAAGCATGAAATAATTTATTTAATTATACGTACGTTAATTATATTATTCCGAATATAAAACTCGTGTAATGTTATTTCATATATACAATTCCTATTACTATATCTTTTTCTAGGTGTATCGATACACTCAGATATAGGTACATTGACAAATCATTACCGGACACATGATCCATAGGCTTTTCTAATCCGTGCATTGCGTAGACCCAACGATTATTGTCGATCGGTGTGATGAGAAACATTCTCCGATGTAGCCAGATGAAACAAAAGAATGCAATTTTTGTTATGATCACGTATTAATCAACTCGTCAGCCCGATTCGCTCTCGTATTGTAGCGCATAGATCTATATTCTATTTCACTGATTTTCGTGAATTTACCGGCTTTGAACGAAAATAAAATACGAAACTCATGACAATCGTAACGCGTCACTAAGTTAGCACACCTGTGTGTATACGTGAACGCGTGGCGACCGATAAAAACGCACTTCGAGGATGGCAATATACAACGACGGAGTTTCGTGTCGCGCGAATACCCTCTCCATTCCTTTCTTCCTATCTCTCTCGCAAGCCTGTCGGTGAACCTTCCTGCCATCTCATTCATTTATTTATTTATATGTCTCTGTCTCACTTTTATCTCAGGGTCGACATGATTTGACCTGAATTGGAATATCAACTGAAACTGATAATACCTGATGACTGTTCAAGCACTTGAGTACGTGCTTACTTTTTTAACATGCATAAGTAATATCCAGTAGTATCTGGATATTCGAAATAAATTAAATACAAATACTCATATTAACTATACACTATTTAAATATCCAGATAATAACGACAATCCAGATATTTCGGATGTTTAGACATTCAAACAAAACAAAAAGTCATTATGACGTCAAAAAGCTCTAAAATTATTTATTAAAATTCATTTTTCGATCAGAATTATTAAATTTATTGTAAATGTAATTTTGACATTATCTTGGTGTTGCTCTGAGATATTCCCTAAACAGAACAATAACTAACGCAGAACATACGCTAAAAGTAATGTTACATTAATATTGTGATTTCCCTCTTAATAATATAAATATACTACAACACATATTATGTACATAATAATTATATCATTGAGTAGGAAATTATAACATTGACGTAATGTTACTGTCAGTTTGTGTTCTTTGTGGGCCTTCAATAAAACGGATATTTAGATAATGTAATTTGAATATTTGAATAATACGACGATTATACTTCTACATTCATCCGGATGACTAATCAGATAACTAAAATTATTGAATTTAAATCATTAGATCTATTAGGTTGATTCTTGTTTTCAAAAGATAAGGAGCCTAGTCCTCTGACATCCTAGATACGTTACTGAATACTCCGCACGCATTTGTCTATCTTACTTTCTTACTTCCTCTCTCGCTTATCCATGTACTCTGTTTTCGTTTTCTCATACACTCAAATCGTCATTCTCTCTCTCTCTCTCTCTCTCTCTCTCTCTCTCTCTCTCATTCAAACGATCTCTCTTGATCACGTGCACATGTTACGCACATTGATTCCTCAAAGATTCTCCAGCTCACTCACTCCTTTCGCTCTTTTCATTCATCTCGCTTTACACGACGGCTCGCTCACGTATCCATTGGCTCGCTATTTCCCCACCAAGAGCAAGTTACCTTATTTAACTCGGAAAAAAAAATTCTATCACTCGGTGAGCACGTGCTCGTCCACCTCCATCTCTTCAACGCGACTCGTACGCCGGCTTTCAGAGCGTTGCCGTTAAGTTGTTCTTTCGATAATACCTCAACTCTTTAATGCGCACTTCTATTAACATAGTAAAAATTTAAATGTTTGATATTTTACATTTTTTTAAGATATCTTTACATTTAATATTTAAAAAATACAGCTATGAAAAAATACAAATATAATATCTAAAAATGTAATCCAAACAGATTTTTGTATTTTGCTTATCTTGATATTTGATATTGTAATTGTAAGACTGCCCAAATGTTTTTTTATTTATTATTATTTTCATGTATAATAATTAAGGAATCTTCTTTATTGTTATCATTGTATTTAAAATTGTAAAAACATTTTGAATTTATCTATTACTTCTATCAAATTAAATTATAAATCTTATCTAAAATAGAAAAAAAAAGAATAAATGATAAAGTATGATCACGATAAATAAATTTATATGCTAAATTCTTTCTTTATAATTTCTAAAAAAAGTACGTCACTTTTATCGTGGATAAAATTCACAATCCAACTTCGGTATATAATAATAGCTCGAGCATATAATAACAACTGTGTACAAAATTTATAGCTTTGGTTAAAGACATAAAAAGAAAATTGAAAATTGTAAAATTCATATAAAAGTATTATTAAATATCAAGACTCACTTTGACAAAATATAGCCTTCTTTGCTTATTTTTCTTGAATATAGAAAAATGTTTCATTGATCTTTATGTTGATGGTCAACACATCTAGTGACAAAAAACCGCGGATACTTTTTAGATGATCCAATATATCATTTCCTTATATCGAATATGACACATGTCAAAAAACGTGATTTTTCGTTATTACCATGAACGAGTTAAACAAACATTGCTGTATATCAATCCATTACAAGCGAATCAACTTAACTAACTTAATTTTAAAAATCGTCAAAGTTTAAAAAAAAAACAAAATCTTTATATATATATATATATACAGTCAATTTTCTGTCAAATTGAAAAATAATTTTTTTCTCTTTTTTAGGAAACTTCTTTTTTTGTGTCACTTTTCAAGTAAGAAAGTAATACATTTAAAATTTTAATTTATAATATCTTGGGCTGCTTTTTTAATATGGAAACCTATAGATCTTCTTTACTTTCGTGCAATTCTCTACTCTATAGATCTCCCAGTACTTTTCTACTACTTTCGTTGTAGAAATATACAAAGTGTCCCAGGAAACATAATATGCACGCATAATATTGTCAGTAAAAATATAATGCTTTTATTAGTATGTTTTTATTAAGTATAAATGGAATTTCTCCTTTTGGTAAAATAGAAACAACGATACATATTTTTAATTTTGATAAACAAACTGTAAAAATAGTAGCATCACCTTTAAAAAGATACGTTCAACTTCTATTCATTTGTCATTGAGAAAAATTATTCCGCTCGTGTATAACATTCGTAATTGACTTAAATCCATAAATAAATTGTTAATACAATTTATTAAACCACTGAGTGATTTGCACGTAAAGCAACATATTATTGTATACAAAATTTGTGCGACAAATTTGTTTTTATATGCGTGTGCAATTGTCATGTAAAGCCGCATAAAGACTCGATTAAAAAACTTTATTACCAATAAAAGAATAGTAACATGTATATAAAGTTCTGGCACTTATTTGATTAAGCCGATCGATATGGTCACTTAACAAACAAACAAAGCATAACAAACAAAAATATAAAAACAATTATACAAATAGCATTCCGTATTTTAGTTTTCTATTTCTATTTATATTTGTATTTTTCTTAAAATGCTTTAGTATATTAATATATGTATATATAGGCAATATTAGATTTACTCTTGTATGTAAACTTGTAAATAATAATTCAATAAACTTATTAATGTTAATAAATATTTCCACTTTGCTTTATCTTCTTACTAATAAAGATAACTGGCAAATATCAATTACAAGATTAAAAATTTTTCTTCATTCAAGCCTTGGCTTGCTCAGATTAGATCACGCGAGTTAATAAGATTGTAATAATTATTCTCTCACTCTCTCACTCTCTCTCTCTCTCTCTCTCTCTCTCTCTCTCTCTCTCTTTCTCTCTCAGAATTGTAATTGCGATTTTCTCGAAAATAAATCGGTTTACTCGATCTACTTTGACGACACAATGTTCTCGACAACTAATCGACGAGTCTGTCGGTGACGGAACTTCCTCGTTATAATGATGGATTCACATGAACGATGCGACGCGTCGCCGACTTGAACGAATCAGAGATGCGGGCTTACCTAGATATGATTTCTTGCAACGCTCTATTAGCAGATAATTGTTTAAGTAGTCGAACACCTCAACGCCCATCTTTTTTTCCTCCTGAAATAAACGTCGAGCGGGCCGTGGGCAACCCTGCCTGCTCGCGGAAGTTGAATCGTCGGCGACGAGACTCCTCACAAAGACACGTCGGTGTGCACTGGCAACGTATATAGACACGCCAAATGCTCACCCCAGATCAATATAAGTACCCGCAGATATCGACTTTCCTCTTTAGTGCCCTTTTCCACGCACCCTAAAATCCCGTCGCAAACACGTAAATGATATAAAATTGCGAATTTCTTCTGCGTGTGAAATTAACGTAAACGCACTGTTCAAATCACGAAGCAGTTGATTCGCATCGACCACTCAAATTCATTTCTTCTACCCTACCGCTGTAGGGCAGCTCTCGGAAATACACACCGAGTGCTTCCAGGTATCAATTTATCTTTGTTTAACATTCGATGAATAACAAAGATAGAATGATACTTGGAGGCATTCAATGTGTATTTTCAAACGCAGCTTATTGTTAGTTCAGATGGATAGGTTTTCTTACTCCCCTATAATTGGCGCATGCGTTAATGCAAAAGCCAAACCATTCGTAGCATGCATTGTTTTTTATATTAATCTTTTATATGTAGATACGTTTTAGGGATGTCAATATCATAATGCTAGAATTATATATCAATAGATAAAGGAACACCATGTCTCAAAATCATTGACTTTAATTTAATAATAGATTTTGTGTTTAATTTCGAGTCAACACTGCCTTTATAAAAATAAAATATTAATGATTTAGTATGATTAAAATGAAGGGATTATAATATAATAAAATTTTTAAGATATAATTCAACAAAAATCCATTATATTTTTAAAGAAATTAAAGAAAAGTTAGAACTTTTAAATGATTCTCAAGCTTTCATTAAAGGTTCTACAAAAATTCTCTTCAATTTTTTAAAATAAATAAATAAAAAATAAATAAATAAATTACAAATCTGTGTAAGAAATTTTATCAATTGAAATCAATTCAATCTCGTAATCATCGCAATCAGAAATAAGACTTTTTGGAAAAAAACATCTGATTTTGATGCAGGGTTGGTAAAACAGATTAAAACATGCTTAATTGATATTATTTTTAATATATGTTGAATATTTTTTTTATAATATTATTTGAATTATATTTGAAGCATTAAAAACATATTTAAGAAGAAACATAATGATTTATTCTAAAAAAAAACATTAGTCTTTACCAATCCTGTTTCGATGTAAATCAAATCTTAGTTTATTGTTAGAGTTTACAATGTCTACATAAAAACAACGTGTTCGGAATGTCAACAAGAAGTGATAAGACTTTGGCTGATTACTAGCATGTAATATGAACGTTATAATTAACCATTTTGTGCAATATTCCTACGAACTTTCGTCTTTTTCCTTATTTCGTTTCCTATTTCTTTCAAAAAATCAATTACATCAGCTACACAATTTTATACTTTCTTTCTCGTTATTCATTTCTTTTTATGACTTTTATGAATTCGCAAATAGAAATATATTTCTTCCATTCTGATTTTGATTATCGAAATATCGATTAAATTGCACATTATAAATCATAATAGCTAGTCTTCAGTTGTATTATAAATAAATTTTTTTAAATGACTTTCCTGATTAATAGTAGGAATAAATTTATCTAATTGTTTATCTATATTTTGTAAAGATTTTGAATTTCTGTAAAACAGAAATGTGAAAAAGATTTATCAAAATTCTTTTCTCTAAATAAATAAAAATTATTTTATTCAATCGATAAACATAAAACCTATCGTAAC